TTATTGTTATTGTAGAACGAGGTGATAATACAGATTGTTTTTACGATTTGCTAAAGGGTCACACCAACATTTTCTAATTTGACAATAAAACCTATATAGCTTCAAAGCTATGTTTATGAAAATAACAATAGTTTTTGTTTCATACAAATTGGTGCAGAAAGACGAATGTTATAACGTTTTGAAGTTTCGCAATTTTTTTTAATTTTTACTCGCTCGTTCTCCGTGACGTGACGTCACAATCCGACAGAGCGAACGCGCAGTAGGTACTTGCTAAGTCAGTACTATCCGCGCGCTCGGAAGTATACGGTCGTTTACCTACATATTATATCGAATGCCAGAGTTAATATCCGGTTGACTGTATTAGATGATATAATGCTTATAATAAGCCCGACGACTATATAATAATTTTGAACTAATAATTTATGAATAATCTAATCCAATGTAATCAATATTATTTAAGATGAATAATTTAATCTAATATATTATTATGAATAATGTAATCAATGAACTATTAATAATATTTGACATTTGTATGCTCATGTGGCTGATCACATACTGAACTTTATTTGTGTTTAAATAAGACCTTTTTGTAAACTGTGAATCACAAATGAACTATTTGATATGATTTATAAACTATTGAACATTTAGCTTTTATATGATTATATTTATATGTATAGTCACGGTGTGTACTGCTGTATAAAAAAGAAAATGGAAGCGGGCTTTGAAATAAGACAGTCAGCTAATCTGCCAAAAGTAGATACTTTTATGGCCGCTCAGTATTTTTCAGAAAATTATGATTTTTTTATCATCAGATGCATGGAATAAAGCTCTAAAGGTAAGTTACTAATAAAAGATTACGAAAAGTATGCAGCTTTACCATTGATTAGTAATTAGGCAGTAATACATAGGTAGGTATTAACTGATTTACAACGACATAAAATGAAAAAACTTACTTAAACTTACTAATGCAGTGAGTATTAATAAACTCTTACTGTTATTTAGTACCTAGTGACACGTGAAGAAATTTTGTTGGTTACTTAGTTCGTTAGTGGTTGCAAACATATGGTTCTAGTTTTACTTTGACTTACTTTTGAATAAACTGATTGCGGTATTACGTTGGTAGTTGTTACCTATACTGTTTTGAAAATGCAATGGTCGCAAACATTCAATGCGTATAATACTAAACTGATTTTGATGAAATTTTGCATTAAAGTATAACTTGCTCTACAGGATTTTATCTTCTCATATCGGACTTTTATTCCCAAGGAGCGTTATATAATAGAAATAAAAAAAAAACAGAAAATAAAGGTTACTGATAAATAAATAACATGACAAGAAAAATATGGAGTAATAAATATGGAGAGAATAAGAAAAATATAACAATAAAGACTACTGGTGGCTTCGACGTGTCGGCTTGTGACGTCACATCGCGATGCGGAGCAAAGCGGTCGCCCTTACCGTAAAACACCACTTTACTCATCAATATTTCAGTCATTTTTGAAGGTAGAAAAAAAATAAGAATACCGTTGAATCCGTAATTTTTTAAACAATTTTTTGATACCCTTAGTAAAATTAGGTGGCCAGACCCGTTAATGCAGATAAGAGTTTACCATAGAGTCTAGTGGGATTTGTATATTTTATTATCTGCGTAAAAACCTAGTAATTTTTTTTTGATCTGACTCGACATTCGAACCTGGCGTAGAGGGAGTATGTACAATAGAGTAGTCCCGTATACCTAAGCGGGATAGCAATAGTTTAAGGTTAGTGTTGCCGATGGTTCTCTATTTTTATTTTCCTGATTTTTGGGAAAAGTAAATTCTGTTTACTAATTATCGGTAGAATCAATACACAGTGTTTCAAAAATATGTAAGTAATTCATTAACCTCCTAAGATATATCTTATTAGGTTAATAGTAGTGCATTAACTTCCTAAGATATATATTAAAAGGTTAATGTACTAAATTGAAAAATAAAACGATTTTTTTCATTATATTTTAAATCGCTTTATTTTGCGTTTTATCTTTTTCTTGTTATTATAATCAGTTTTTTTTAATATATAGTTTTGCAATGTATAACAGATTACGCAAAAAGACACAAAAAGACTATAATATACTTGAAATTAAATAGTTTAAAATTTACCTTTGGATATATTATTATCTACCGATTTTTTTATCGGTAGATAATAATATATCAACAGGTATGTATTCAATTTCGAATGAAACAACAGAAGTAATACAAAATATTTATGTGAATATTATTTAAATAAAACAAATAATTGAAACAGCTCTAGGAAAATTTTTGTACATCTTTACAGTTTTCGGTTTGGTAACGCATGCTTAAAAACTAAAGGATTCTAAGTAAATATTTTTTCATCCCGTTCAGAGTCTGTAACCCTAAAAAAGAACGGACAAGAAACTTTAGGGAACTGTTTACAATAAGCTAAACTTACATACGATTACATGTTTATTATTGCAAACATTTATAATTTTTACTAACAAACGAAAAATGATGAAGTCAGCAACAGCCTTTTCAGAATTATAATCAGGCAGCCATTTTGTCACCGGTAGCCTTTTATACATGAGACGTTTGTACCACATCTGTTTCTTGAAACGGTGTTTGGACAGAGACGACATTATTTATTGCTTCTTACCTGAGAATAAAGAGACAATTTTTAAATACTCAATGTAAAAAAAAAAACAATTTTTCTATAATACAAGCGATCCGCCCCGGCTTCGCACGGGTGATTTCTGGACCTCAACAACAGCGCCGGCTACCGGGTCCAATTGTGTTTCTCTTCTAAATCATGCAGGGACTCACTCAAACGCACACAAAAAAATTCATCAAAATCGTTCGAGCCGTTTTCGAGTTTTAAGTAGACTAAAGGACAGCAATTGATATATATAGAGATTAAAGTGACAAACGAGTTCGCATGGTAAAAATTTACTGCAACCAAGTACAAACAAAAGAAATTCTTGTGCATTGTCGTCTCTGAGAAAGAATGAAGATGAAATACGAGTATTAAATATCAATAATATCCTGAAAAATAAATATTGAGCATGTAGAAAAAATATTCCTATAAAATTCAAAATTAAAACAATAGTTAACAACACAAATTCAAAATCAAAATAGGTTACTCACTGGAATAAAAAGTGTTGGAATCGCATTCGGCAACAAATATGTCCTCTTTTGCGTTTTACGAAAACAACGCGACTCAAAATGTTTCGAACATATGCGGTCATTCTTCTCACGTTGCCATTCCTTTCTCCCAGTAGATACAATCCACATATTTATAATGTTTGCTTCTTTAGGAAATCTAAAATAAATAAATTATATTGGTAATTAAATTAAGGTTAAAAAATTGTTCAGAGTCATTTAGAAATTAAGGAATATTTTTGCCAAGCACTGGTATCCTTGTAGTGATTATACAGCAAACTTGAAACGACAAAAATAAATGGCGACTTTTAAATAAAAGAACGCTTCTTAATTTAGTTATATAAAACGAAAAAAAAGTTGTAGGTTATTTTAGTAATTTATTGTATATTTTCTGATAATTATATACTTGAGATAATGAAAATTAATCAGCTAATCGATTTCTTAGGTAATTTTACTTTAAATAAGCTTACTTACTGATGAAAGGTTGTTTGGTATTTTTCGTTCTGGTCGGTTTTTACAACCTAACACACAACAACGCACCATAATTTCACATAAACTCTGTCTAAAACAAAAAAACTTTAAACGTCACGTAATTCAAACGTTAATAATTTTGCAAATAATCACCTAAAACCACTAAAACAGTTGACGACAGCCGTTTGTTTGGAACATAGTACCTTTGTTCCAAGCAAAGGAAATCGCATACGGTGAAAGAAACAAAAAAAAATTGTTTGACTCGCTCGCTCTTAACGTAACACAGATAAGTGTGTTTCTCTCACGCATTTCCTGTCAATTTAGTGACGCCTCTATAGTTCATTCTCTCTCTACGGAACCCGGTAACACATGTGATCAGAAGTTGCCAATATGCAGTCATTATGAAGTTTGTGTTACGCATGTTCATTGTTTTTAATGTTAACTAGTGTCTCTCCCTAGCTTCCCTTAGGTAGGTAGGTGTTATTTAGATTTGAGATAGTAAAATACCACTTATTTTATCAATTTTTTCTCGCTTAAGTATTTTCGTAGTAGTAGAACGTTAAATTAAAAATAATTTTTATGCCACTAATCGCTTTAAAAAATTGTATAAAAATTACAGCGCTTCATTAGGTTTTGTTATTGTTGGGATTCATTTAAAACACTATTTGAAAATGGGTGTAATACCCTATTATTATTGCCCGAAGACACCTCTACACAAGAACAGTGTTTGTACGGAGCAGACTAAATCCATTGTTTGGGGTGGACTGAATGAGAGCGTCTGTTAACACTATTAGTGATTTTTTCAATTCTCAAATAAAAGCTATCCATCAAATAAATTATATTTCGACTGAATATAAAAGTGAAGCAATTGAACTATTTTTTAATATTGACTGTTAACTTGTTTGTCTTATTTAATCCTATTATATTTTAAGTACTTTTATCTGATGGTTGATAAATCGGCCCTAAAATATTTATTTTTTTGTTTTTATGTAGTAGACTGCGCTTTTGTGGTAGTAGACAGAGCACATCGTAACAACAACAACAACAACTCTTTGTCTTTGGCTTACTCTTTTGGTTTAGGCCGGCCCCATACATACGGAATTCGTTTTCGGGATTCCGTTTCGGAATTCCAAACGGGTTGGCCACACACATACGGAATCCCGTTTTTCCCGCAAAACATCGAACGGAAAACTACCGTACGTGTGTGACGGGTCATAAATTTTATATGGGCGGAATCCCGAAACGGAATGCCGTATGTATGTAGTCGGCCTTAATATTTAACATAATGAAATTTTGTCTATGACGTCTACGACTGACCACAGAGTACTTTTATGACTGACTTTTAATTTGTCGAACGCGAGTGTTTCTATATAGTTTGTGATTTGTCGCTAACATACGTAGTATCCACTAAGTAGTCTGTGGTCGCTAACTCGCTACGCTAAATAGTGGGAGGTACCGATAACGAGAAACTAATTTTTAGCAGAATTCATTGGAAGTTGCCAAAATAGGAAAAAAACTAATTTTTAATAAGAAGACACTAAATTTATGATATATTACATATTCATTAAATATTTTGAGATAGAGAACTGATTTTATAAAATACAACTTCTATAGAACATAATGGTAATGAAATATTTTTTGTTTTTAATATGTGTTCCAATGATGAAATCTACCTTTATTCGTATTTGGCTTATTTTTCATCTAATCACAGGCTAATTGGCACATTATTGAAGCACGTTTAACATAAACATACATTTTTCTGGTTAGTTATTTTTAATATGTTTCAAAGGAGATCACTATGTAATCACAACACTGTAATAACATGTTTTTTGTATTTCTTATTTTTTTAAATTCTTGTTAAATTGAGTGTGTTGTTTACTTGCCTAAAATATTCCTATAAACGAGGTAGTCCAACTAAAAAATTGGTAAATTTGATAAAAAAATGTGCCAAATATGGCATGTCTGTTTCACTAGAGGAAGGTCTATAGTGAAGTGCTATAATTTGTTGATGATGGTGATTATGATAAGATGTTAAAGTTGACAAAAAATTACTATGTGTAATTCCGAGCGATAAAATAAAATGATGTGTCTTACCTAGTTTGAAGAGCACCTCCCGCCCTCCTTCAATTGCGTGCACTGTCACCACTAATCCCAGCACCACTACACTAGGAAAGACACACCACTGACGACAATAGTAATATACTATTGTCGTCAGTGGTGTGTCTGGGATTAGTGGTGACGGGGATATTGCACGCAATTGAGGGAGGGCGGGAGGTGCTCTTCAAACTAGGTAAGACACATCATTTTATTTTATCGCGCGGAATTACGCAAAGTAATTTTTTGTCAACTTTAATATAATGGACTTCCGCAAAGTAACGCCTGATTTTATTAATTATGATAAAATGTATAGCTTTGAACAGCCATTTAAATATACTTTCAATTATGATATCTACAGGTATAAAATACCTCATTCTTATGAGGGATATGCCCAGTGCTAGCAATGATATGTTGTGTTTTTACTGAGACCTGGGAACTAGTGTTATTTTATTGGTCTTTGGGACATGTATTGAATAACTAGTTTTAGGTCAAATGTGATTTTTGTATATACATGATTTTTCGTAAGTAGTTATAAAATAATGGTCATATTAGATAAGAAAACTAAATATCTGGACTGGCTCACAAGGTGACCGACTTGTGGGGTGCTATGCTGACTAAAATTATTCCTGTGGATGCTTACGTTAATCCTAGGACTCTGTGACTAATGATGAGACTGTGTGTACTGGATGGTGGTGCTCCTTGATATTGATTGCATCTCCTGCCCTTGTCTTTCCCTTTCTTTTTATCCTTCGACTGTTTGGTCTTTTCTGCCCAGAGCTTTTATCTATTTGGGTTTTTATTTATTTATTTGACTATATGCTATTAAAAGTATGATGATATACAATAATATATATTTGATGTTAACTTTTTTTTTTAAAATATATGAGAAATGCTATTCAACATTACTAATATTCCCTTTGAACGCTTCTGGTAAGCTTAAAATGCTTGTGTTAGAAGTGGTTCATGACAGTAGTCGAATGGCGGATTCGAACCTACAACCTTTCGAGTTCGCCGTCCACCCCCTGCCATTAGGCCACTCACACTTAACTTATAAATTTTTTATATATATTATTTATACATCCCACCCAGATGAAAATACTAGATAAACACATTGAGTAATAATAGTAATATTATTTTTACAGTTAGTCCTTGTCCTCGGTGATTTACACATTCCACATAGATGCAGCAGTTTACCACCAAAATTCAAGAAGCTGCTCCTACCTGGACGTATTCAGCACATATTATGCACTGGCAATCTTTGTACCAAGGAGTCGTATGATTATCTCAAAACATTAGCTAGTGATGTCCACGTAGTGAGGGGAGATTTTGATGAGGTAACATTTTATACTACTTAAGGTTGTGTAGTTACTTAGATTATGTTAAATGAAATAAGAGAAAATAAGAGAAAATAACAGCGCATAAATCTCTTGGCACTGGTTGTGTGTGCGCAGGACCAGTGCATGTTGCCAGTGATGAATTATGGATCTGCACTGTGGCCCTTAATTACTGACCATATGAGGAAGTTAAGGTGGCTCAGTGAGTTATGGCTCCTACAAGATGGATTAATGACCTCGACATGAAGGCATGTAGGCAGTCGTATATAATTGGCTTAGGATTGTGCTTTGTGGCATTCCATGGGGAAGTATAATCATATAATTGGTACCTATAATCGGTAGCTATAATCGGTAGCGGACTTGTGAAGGGCTGTAATAATGATAAATGTTCCAGTCCAGAGTACAAATCTCCTTTCAAAGAGTAAAGTTGAAGACTATCTCATTTTCTAAAATGATTTTAAAGCTTCATTGGCCTGATATTTTCAATATCTCCTATATAAAGGTTTTTTTTTTTTTATTTTTTTTTTTTTTTATAGGAGAGGGGGCAAACGAGCATGCGGCTCACCTGATGGTAAGTGACTACCGCCGCCCATGAACAACCGCAACACCAGGGGAATTGCAGATGCGTTGCCGGCCTTTTAAAAAGGAGTAGGCTCTTTTCTTGAAGGTCCCTAAGTCGTATCGGTCCGGAAAAATCGCTGGTGGTAAACTATTCCACAAGGAAGTTGTGCGAGGAAGAAAACATCTTCTAAATCGCACAGTGTTATCACATTTTCCTTCTTCATCGTCAAGAATGTGGTGTTTGGTGGTGTGGCTTAAACTTGATTTGTTAGTATACTGTGGAATTGAAATTTAATGCAAGTGGTCAGCCTCTGAACTTCCAAGGTTCTCCTTTTAACACTAGGAGGGAACTAGCGAAGATACAAAATATATTACAATTTTTTTTAAGAATGTTACCAATTACCATACTCTATGATATTCTCCTGTATTGTGGTCCACAATTAAAAATATATTTATGAACTTTCTGTGTTTATGTTTGTTAACTGCCTCCACGAATTATGAATACAAACATAAATTGCACAAGGACAAACACCCAGGTCTGGAACAATTATTTGTAGGCCGTACAAATACTTGTTCATGCGTGATACTCTATGAAACTAATAAAGTTTTATTTAAAACCAACTTCTGAGCAATATGTTATCAATAACAAAAAACTTCACCACAGTGTCAACTAGCGACATCTGGTGAGCGGAAAATTATTAGCCCTCATTGTTATCAATGCCAGTAGTTCCATGAAATATCAACTGTTGAAATATGACAAGGTGAAAAATGAAAATTATAAAAATAGTAGCAAGTATATTGTTTAAACATAAAAAAATAAAACACAAGCTAGTAAAAGTAAAGTTACAGCTTATATACAACCCACTGCTGGGCACAGACCTCTAATTTCTGAGAGTTTTTGCTATATTAAAACTCATCTCTATAAATATATAAAAATCAATTGCTGTCCGTTAGTCTTGCAAAAACTCGAAAATGGCTAGACCGATTTTGATGAAATTTTTTTTGTGTGTTTGGGTGGGTCCGTGGATAATCTAAACGATTCACAATATGAGCCGGTAGGTGGCGCTGTTCTTATGTATAACAAAATATACTGTTTTTAAACATAATATACGATATGTAAAAAAAACCCTGTCCAATTTGAAAGGGGCACATAGGTATCATATTAACATTACCAAAAAAAAAAACACTATTATAAATATTGTAATGTTATTCATATTAAGAATACACGTTTTTCCTACAATTTGCTTAAAACTTAGTAAATTTTTAAAAACTGGCAACACCTAACTGAACTACCTGTGTCGCAAGTAATGCCATGTAAGTTTCCACATTTAATTAAATTTGATTTTATACTAGCTGGTCCTCGTGACTTCGCCCGCGTGTTATTTGGGGTTTTCATTTTTTTGCGCGGAGCCCTAATTCTTTTTCTAAAATAAAAGTAGCCTAAGTTACTCCTTGTGACATCAGCTATCTGCCAGTGAAAATCCAGTCAAAATCAGTCCAGCCGTTTCGGAGATTAGCTGGAAGAAACAGACAGACGGACAGACAGACAGACAGACAAAATCTTTAAAAATTGTATTTTTGTTATTAGTACCGTATATATTATCATATTCATTTAATAAAAAGCTGTAATTTTGACATTACAAACAGACACTTCAATTTTATTTATTTGTATAGATTTCGTGGATATTTTTTCTTTATTAACTGTAAAGAATTACATGAACAGAATCTTATCACGGTGCCTAAAAGTACCCTCACGGATCGGACAGGGCCTTTGTACATATTGTATGGTCTTCTCTACACTATTGTGTAACAGCGGGTTTAGAATAGCCATACCATTCTGTGGGTGTCATAAGAAGCGACAGAGGAAAATAGAATCAGGAGATGGACAGCAGCATCATCTTAATAACAACAGAAAGTAATGAAAAACTGCAGTTGCTGTCTGTCTGCTAAAAGTGCCAACTATGGTAAAATCCTCCCTAAGGGGGAGGCTTATGTTCAGCAGTTAACTTTTGATAGGCTTTAATGAATTAATGGTTTTCCAACTCTGTCAACCTACATCTGATCATGCAGCCTATACTCAGCAGTGTTCCCACAATATGTAGTTTGTAAATTGTAATGATGAATGTCAGTATTGTTACTATTAATATCTTGTACATAGCAACACTAGTTACTACTAGCGCCCTCTAGTATCGAGTAGCAGAACTAGGAGAGTCAAGATCCTTCTAGAAATTTCGGGATCGATATGTACTCGAATATACTAGATGTTTCTACAGTAGAAGGTTCTGGAAACTATCTGAGGCTCTATATAAGGCCGGTATAGACCACGACCGAGGAGTATTGAATTGGCGATACAAGAGAATACTTCGAAGCGAAATAACTGCGAACCAAAGTGATCAGTAGTACTGTTGCGCGCCACTATTAATGTTTTGTACATGGCAACACTAGTTACACTAGCGCCCTCTAGTGTCGAGTAGGAGAACTAGAAGAGTCAAGATTCTTCCAGAAATTTCGGGACCGATATGTACTCGAACATTCTATATGTCGCTACAGTAGAAAGTTCTGGAAATTATCTGAGGCCCTATATAAGGCCGCTATATACCACGACCGAGGCAGTATTGAATTGGCGATACAAGAGAATACTTCGAAGCGAAATAACGGCGAACTGTGTTTTATTATTAGTGTGGTTTTAGATTGTAATTAGTGTTGTCTAATTAAAGTGTCAATTTTGGTAATTCAATCGGCAGTTTTTAATTGTCTCGGACCCCAAGCTCGTAACAATTGGTGTCAGAAGTTGTATCAAATCATGCCGATTTTACCAAAGGACGACATGGAGGGTATGCGTACCCGAAGTCAACGCCAGCTGGAGGCGGACCAGAGACGATTTGGTAATGCGACGCCGCAAACGTCGGAGGGCCAGATGCTGACCACGGAGGCCGGCCCGTCAGCAGCTCCTGCATCTGCAGCACCTGACTTAGGTGCTCTGATGATGATGTTGCAGGATTAGGCTCGCCGACACGAGAAACAGGCCCGCCGACAGGAGCAACTGGGCCGTCGGTTGGAAGAGCAGCTGCAGCGCGGACAGAAGGAACAGGCCCGTCGGTTGGAAGAGCAGCTTCTTCTCATGAAGGACCTTTACGCTACCTTCAAGAAAGAGATAAGGGAGGTGAAGGATAGGGTTGCTCAACATGACAACCGCCTGTCGGAAGCTGAAACCCGAATCGACCAAGTGAACAATCGGGTTGACAACGTGATGGCTGACGTGAAGAAAACGCTGGACGACCTCAAACTTGGAGATGGAATTACAGCTCCCGTGGTAGCTACAACACCTTCGCTGGGTGGATTATTCAAAGCGCCGCCGTTCGGCGGGACTTCTTCCTGGTCGGCCTACAAAATCCAATTCGAGGCTGTCATGAAGGCGAACGGCTGGAATAAAAGTCAGGCCATGACTGCTCTCACCCTAAGCCTGCGCAACCAGGTCCTAACTGTTCTGGAAGCTCTCGGTAAGGAAGTGACTTACGAGCAGCTCCTTGAGGCATTGGAGGCGAGATATGGCGACGCTCACCTGGAACACGTCTTTCGTGCGCAGCTCAAATATCGCGTGCAACGCAGTAACGAAAACCTTGGACCCTTGAGGTGGAGAAGCTGGTTCGGAAAGCATACCAGTCTGTACCTGCGCTCATTGTAGGGAACCTGGTGCAGACATTCATCGATGGCATCCGCGACCTTGAAGTAAGAGCTGCCGTGAGGCTCGGGCACCACAAGACGCTTAAGGACGCGTTGGCCCATGCACTGGAGGTGGAAGCCGTTCGACAGGATCATCGTTCCCATCGCTTCAGGGAGGTTTCAGCAGCTACAGTTCGTGACCGTAATAAAGGATACAGCCCCAGGTGCTACGGCTGTGCGGGAAGGGGCCATCTTCGATCCAGCTGCCCTAAGCGAACTGTAGAAAGGGAAGGTGATCGATCTCGAGAGGATATTGTGGCTAACAGCACCGCCCAGCAGCAGCAGGGAAACTGGCGGGTGCTGAATAATGTTAGAAGAGGTACTCCTAAGATTGTCCATGTGGATCGACTGGCGCGTTATTATGGGGCCAATAATGCTCGGGACGAGCATGTCTTAGGAGGGGGCAGTGTTGCGCGCCACTATTAATGTTTTGTACATGGCAACACTAGTTACACTAGCGCCCTCTAGTGTCGAGTAGCAGAACTAGGAGAGTCAAGATTCTTCCAGAAATTTCGGGACCGATATGTACTCGAACATTCTATATGTCGCTACAGTAGAAAGTTCTGGAAATTATCTGAGGCCCTATATAAGGCCGGTATAGACCACGACCGAGGCAGTATTGAATTGGCGATACAAGAGAATACTTCGAAGCGAAATAACGGCGAACTGTGTTTTATTATTAGTGTGGTTTTAGATTGTAATTAGTGTTGTCTAATTAAAGTGTCAATTTTGGTAATTCAATCGGCAGTTTTTAATTGTCTCGGACCCCAAGCTCGTAACAGTACAATTGTGTTCTATTATTAGTGTGGTTTTAAATTGTAATTAGTATTCTGTAATTTAAGTGCCAATTTTGGTAATTCACTTGGCAGTTTTTAATGGTCTCGAACCCCAAGCTCGTAACAGTATGTTGAAACGATCCTGTTATAGTAATTTTCTTTCCTACAACTTTCAGAATTCTACATACCCAGAACAGAAAGTGATAACGGTGGGTCAGTTCCGGATTGGCTTGATCCATGGCCATCAGGTAGTGCCATGGGGAGACGAAGAGTCACTGGCCTTAGTGCAAAGGCAGCTTGACGTCGACATTTTGATATCTGGCCACACGCACCGATTTGAAGCTTATGAGCACGAAAACAAGTTTTATATCAACCCTGGTTCAGCGACCGGAGCCTATAGTCCACTTTTCAGGTATACTCAAAATCTAGTTTTTTCTTTTACGTGGTAGAGCCACACTGCAGCTATAATATGGTTGTAGCACGAATAAATCGGCTCGATCGGGGAATGACCATGCTCTTACAGAATACCAGCGTGAATTAGGAACCCTAATTCACGCTGGAGATCCCTTTTTTACTGAAAATGAGGCAATCCATTTTAGTCTTATAGGGCGACAGTGAAGGATAGATGTAAATGTCTATTGGCCACATTATTAATTTAAATCAACTATTTATTTATTTATTTAATATGTCCGCTTATTAGTGGGAAAATGACTCAAAAGGAGGCATTCCAGTTATATTTGTCTTGGAAACTTCTATTAAATTTATGAATGAATGAATGAATATACTTTTGTTGTACACCACGAACAAATATACAAATGTCATAACAAAAATCAGATTATATATGTACAATTTGGCGGCCTTATCGCTACATAGCGATCTCTTCCTGGCAACCAAAGGTGTAAAGGAATACTAACAATGAATAGGTAGGTGGTGCAATATAAATATACAACATATAATATATACATATACATACACACATACACATACAGACATACATATATACATACATATACATATATACATAAATATACACACAACACATATATATCAATATACATATATATATACAAAAAAAATTATGCTAGATATTAGAAATCTGCTTCTGCCTCTGAGTTGAGTTGATGTGTTTGTCTGGTTTTATATCACCATTTAACTTTTTCTGCTGCTATGTAATAGTGCCAGTAGTAATATTTTCAATTTGGATGGTAAAAGATTATTAATATTGTTAGCTGGTGGTAGAATATCACTTAGTAAAAAATTAATACTAACTATTTTAGTAATGCCAACAACACGGTGATCGAAATTGATATGACGAAATTAAGAATATATCCAGTTTAGTCTCTCTGTTTTTTCCCTGGATTATCCTCTCACTATTCATCACCGGCATGTTCCCTTATTTTGTTTTTATTTTTTAAAACCATAAATTAATTATTTTAAAAGCCTTCCTATAAAAAGTTAAGTTTCGAAACAGAACCTTGTAAAGTAACTAAAACTATCCACGTTTATTACCCGTCCAGCAAACAAATTCTGGTGAACATAAAAATTAAAAGAAAACATACTGACACAGACATATTCTCTTTTTTGTGCAATATCACTGCTACTAGTAAGATCTATTGTGATCGCTGCAATGACTATGGTTCACTGCTAGGGCATCGCATTATTTTCGATGAAATTCTTATTCAAGAACTTCAGTTGCTGTGAGCATTTCCACATGGGTTAAGTACGTAGTTGCCTAGATGAGTATTACGTTTGCACATTAACAGTTATGATGTGCAGAGGTATTTCTTCAGTTAAGAAACAGAATCGGCACATTCTTGAGTTGCTTAGACCCAAGTTGGACATGATGTGCTTTATTAAACAGCCATGTCTAGTCGGTGCTCCTGTCAAAATACGCAGTTTGTTCTTACTTAATTCAAGGGCTTCGAAGCGAATTTACAATCCTATGTTTGGATTAAGGTTCAGAAATGTTTTGCGATAGAGAGTTACAAGGTACAATTGGGCAAGGCTTTTTGAGATACCACTAAATGGCTTGGGTCCAAATCTCTTTGAATCCTCTCGTGTGAGCTTGTCGACTTGTTCACTGCCCACAATACCCGCATGACCCGGAACCCATCCGAAAGCGACCCTGTTGTTACACTCCAGATCGATTAAATGGTTCACGCAGTCTCCCACAAGCTTTGAGGGCACTAAGCTTGATCTCAGAGCTAGCAGTGCTACTTGACTCTCACAATTTAAATATATTATATGGTTGAGGTAGACTTATTGTAGATTGATTTCCACACAACCTAGTATGGCGTAAATTTCTGCCTGGAAGATAGAGGTGAATTTCCCCAAATTCATACTAAGATTGAATTTGGGACGCTCCCCGTAATTTCCAAAGTGAGGCCCATTTTGACCTATCAGTAAACCACATAATGCCGACCTGTCTATTCAGCTAGTCTTCTCTGGAGGGTATTTTGACTATATACATGTTATTAAAAGTATAGTGGACTGCTATCCTTCTTTTATTGTTTGATAAAAAATTAAAATATGTAAAGATTTCATCGATTTTTCATACGTATAATTAGTCCGAGCTGTAGTTGACTCACTCGCACTAGTTAGGGCAGAGCGCGACACCAATAGATTGTCAAACCATCTTCAAATTTCGCTTGAGCTGTTTAAAGCTAATAAATAAACTAAACCGTTTTTTTTTTCAGAAATCCAACACCCTCCTTCGTGCTTATGGATATTCAGAGTGCGACAGTTGTCACATACGTATATAAACTATTAGGCGACGATGTTAAAGTAGAAAGAATTGAATATAAAAAAGCATAGTATCTATAAATGTGTTGTTAATTTAATATATTGTAATACATTATATGATAAGTTACACGAAAAGCATCAATGTAAATAAATTAAAGAGGGCGATTTTCTTTGTTTTACATTTGATAATTCATTGTTGCCAGTGTGCGTTACAGATAAAAAATATTTGTATAGATTGTAATATCTATGTTAAAATGATACATAAATGTCAAGTTGGTTTTGAGGTGGGCTCTTGAAGCCAGAGGAAGCATTTGCTTAAAAGTTTACTCAATTTCTAAAACGTTTTAAATAAATATGATTCCATGTTTTGTAAATTAAATTTATGTTAGACAATTATGTAATTAATATGTATTTGATTTATTTTATGTGAAACTATATATAGCATGTATCTTAATGATATTGTAAGCAATGTTATACACAAATTGTAAAGGATTTTATAGTAAAAAATATGTAATATTTTGATTTTTTTTTAGTTTTTCTTAATATAAATAAAAATAGATTTCATTTTTATTCTTAATTCAGAGATTACCCATCTGTTATTATATTAATAACCACAAACTATAATAGTGAACACCTAAATATAAAAGATTTTGTGTTGTGACTTTTGGCGTATTGAATTTTAAGTATTTTTCTAATCATTTAAAATACTTGGATTTAATTTGAGTTTTTGTTTTTTAAATATAGAAAAGGGCCAAACGATCATGCGGCTTTTTACTTGATAGTGTTTACTTCTGCCCATGAACAACTCCAGAGGAATTGCAGTTACGGTACCGGCTTTTTAAAACGAGTAGGCTTCTTCCTAAATCGTTCCACTTCGGAAAAGTCGCTGGTGATTATAATTCCAAAAAATGCGAGGAAGGGAAAATCGCACTGAAAAGAAAGGAAAAAAATGTGAAGTCTGCGCATTGTAAAGTTGTGCCGGCTTTAAATACTGTCCCTCCACTGAGCACGCTAACCTTTTTAAAGGCCAATTTACCCTTTACTTTAAAGTGACTATGGAACTAAACTTCACTTGATATCTGTTCGGCGAGAATTCCGCTGAGGTTGGTGCCTGAGGCAGGAGTGTATTACGGCAGGTGTAGTCATCTTACTCAGTGTATAGTGTAACAGTGGTAGAGCCACATAGCGGCTTTTGCTGTCGCACGGATGGGCCGGCTCGAACCGGGATGGTACCAAGACCTCACAGAAAACCAGCGTGAAGTAGAGGTTTACCTCTGCGTTTCGCTTGGTGAGTGCAGGTGGCCGGAGGCCCTTTTTACTGGAAATGAGGCATTCCATCTTAGTCCTCACGGGGGACAACGCATCTGCATTTTGATTTGTAATAGAGGATAGATGTAGATGTCTATGGGCCGCAGCAACCACTTACCATCAGGTGGACTGTGTGCTCGTTTGTCACCCTTATCCTATATAAAAAAAAGAAGCAAAACTACGAAGTTTCATTTTATACTAATTTCAAATTTAGATAAATTAAAATGGCTCGCTGACAGTCCACGTATTCGCTTTCGCTCATTATATATAATTTAGCAGCGCTCAGATGCCACTTTTTGCACATTCCGCGGACGCACAGTCCTCTTTCGGTTGTATCGACCTCTTCGCGTGCTGCCGTGAACTATCACGTTGTTACATAATAAACAAACTTTCACGCCTGTTACCAGAGCCTACGGACTTCCACTTAACACGATCCAGACACGTCTATCGTTTCTTTCACATCCATACGCCTATGTACACATGCTCGTCGGCTAAGGGTACTTTTAATTTTACCCATCTTCAATATATTACCGATTTGATTGATAAACTTTCGTCAGGGCGACACTAGCCGAATCTGCCACTTACTTTTGCAACATAACACGTTGACTGCGTATTATAAAGATTATGTACCCAAATAATAAATGCACAGATTAAGTACATTGGCTTATGGCTAATCGTTCCATACTATACAAAGTAGCTTTACATTGATCTCTTTTTATGCTGAAAAACATGTTTTAACTACCCCGCTTCAGAACGATGTCGTGGGAGCAAGTTCGCGCATGTACACCTTCCGAGCTATACGGCAAGCAAATGACACGTGACTATCAAATAGTTCTAGATCTTGCAATTTACGAAGTCGAATGGGCTTTACTTGTGATAAACACATATCTGTATATGTGTCAAAGTGTGCGTGAGACCATAAGGAAGTATTTATGTAGGTAGTTATCGACCGCACGCTCGCAACTGATCGCTCAGTGACACACGCACACTATTGCAGTGTGCATCTACACGTTTAACCACGAGTAAAGCCCGCTCGACTTCGGGAATTGCAAGAACTATGACTATCCTCCTCTCCCATAAATTGTCACTTTTGCCCTGGCCACACTAACCAGAAATGCCGTTAATTATCTCATTGATGAGCGTTCAATGTAGGTGTGGCCACCACTTAACGCGATAATTTTACAATGGCATTAACAATGCCGTTTGCCGTTGGGCGATAACTCTAGTGGCGGTAGATGTAATTCGTTAATTCGTGCGTTAATCTCTTTCATCAAAGAGATTAACGCACGAATTAACGCGTTGAAGCGGCCACACTACGTTTGTCTCATTGTGCATGGTGAGCGCAACGGGATCGCACGTATGGCTATGGAGTGGCATAATGAAAATATCTTCTTTTTCTTTGTATTGTTTTTTCTTCGTTTGGAAATGATAAAATATATTTATATAATAAAAATTTACACTCATCAAATACTAGAGTAGCAGCGTACTTTAACGCCGTGCAACGGCATTGAAATTGAAATGACGTTGACCGTTCCAAGTGTGGCCACTCACTTTATCGCGTTAAAATTAAGGCAATAATTGTTGCGTTTATGGGCATTGACGTTTCTCGTTACTGTGGCCCCAGCATTACCGAGACAATTTATGTGGGAGGGCTTATGTTCAACAGTGGACGTGTGTAAGGTTGTAACTTGTAACGTTAAAAGTTGCCACACCATAATATAGAGAATACTAATACACTAAATGTGTATTAATTTTTTTATGTAATTTTTTTGGCCTGTAATATTTTTATTTGTACCCTTACAAAATCGTGTTTTTCATACCACGTGATGTCATGGATGGTATTCCTTATGTCATTTATATATAGTAGTTTCCCACATTTTTTTCATATTCCTACATTGTCATCCGATTCTTAGCTATATTCAAAGTTTCAAGTCTAGGTAATCGGGAAGTGCTCGAAATTTCATTTGCAAGATTCCACCCGGAACGACAGACATACACAAGAAAGTGACTTAATAATAACGTAGTGAAATATCGAAAGGGTAGTGAATATACTATAGTTAGTTGTGTATAAAAACAACTGTCTCATTGGTATAGTATAGTGGTCGTAAACGCGACTCATGACGAGATCCTGGGTTTAAATCTATGGTCTGGCCAAAAAACTCAGTTATTGAGTTTTCCTGTCATGTGATTCACAATAGTACACCCGTTTCTCGGAAAGTCGTTAGTCCTGCGCCTGATCTCTTTCCGGTCTTGTCGGTTGTTCCATCAGACTGTCCGCCATCACCGAAATTCGGTCTTAACGACATTATTATTAATTTCATGTGAAAGAAACGAAAATCTAAAGATGAGTGACAGGAGTAGCCTTAGTTTATAAAGTAAGAAACAAGCAGGAAAACCAGTTGACCTACTATAAAAATATTTAAACCTACATCTCAGACAAAAAAAGAAAGATAGCATACTACGTACACCAACACTGGTTTTAGGTACATATGTGTGCGTCTAGTAGTGGACTATTATGGGCTGATAAAGAAACATGTGTGCGTGGTTGCTTGTCAAGAAATTGCGCATGGTTTAGGCGTAACTTTAAATGCACTTAGTGTAGCTACTGTCTGTCTTTATTGGTCTGAGCTCCCAAGCTCCCATACTATGAATTTCATGTGTATCGTGGAGGGGTTTGGCCAAATGTCTAGGTCCGAATCGATTACTTTTAGACCATACCACAGAAACCATACAAACTATAGTTCCTTGCGGCAATGTATGTCGTGACAAGCAGCTAAACCCTACTGTACTAAAAAGTCTTAAAATTCTTAGTTACTAAAAATATTATTAGAGTCACTAAAAAGAATGAAGATGGGCAGATGTGCAAAAATGGTACTACGGAGAAGGATAGCCTTCCTCTACAATAGGGGAAGCTCACGTCTAGCGGTAGACTTTTAAGGGCTGAAGAAGAAGGAATTCAGGTTCAACTATTTGCAGAATTTTCTTTCATCAATGATGGGTTTTAACATATGGATGTTGTTAGATTCGTCTTAGTTGTGGAAGGAAGTAGGGTAGGTACATATAATATTTGAATATTTCTTTTATTTTCAGCAAAAAGTAAATCTCTTACGAAGTCGCTTTTTTAATAAACTTTTTAACCAATAGACTTGTTTTCAGAATAGCATTTTACAATACAATAGCAAATTTAACAGTGGCAGAGCCACGCGGCAGCTTTTGCTGTCGCACGGATGGGCCGGCTCGAACCGGGGTGGTACCACGACCTCACAGAAAATCAGCGTGAAGTAGAGGTTTAGAGTTTAGAGGCCCTTTTTACTGGAAATGAGGCATTCCATCTTAGTCCTCACGGGTGACAACGCATCTACATTTTGATTTGTAATAGATAGATGTAGATGTCTATGGGCCTCAGAAACCACTTACCATCAGGTGGACTGTGTGCTCGTTTGTCACCCTTATCCTATAAAAAAAAATATAAACGATCATCTCATTCTTAGGAATTATTATCAACTATGTATTGTTTAATACTATAAAAGGGCCCCCTTTTTTAGTGTGTTTTATAAAAAAATCTTTGATAAATGTATTGTAACCCTGGCAGGGTCGCCATGTAATGTTGGAAAAGTGTCATTGACACTTTCCTCCTACTGCTCATTAAAACCACAATTGAAATTAATATTATTGTATATTATGTCATGTGGGCTGCTCTTCATCACATCCAGACAAATATTGTATTTTCTACGTCTTATAAAAGCATATACAGCCCATCAATGGATTACTGGCTCTGTGGATGTCAGTGGGCATGTTGTATAGAGAAAAGTTTGCACAATCCCTCCTAAATACTACCTACCTCTTACTAACTATAGGACTGCTAGCCCTGACTTACCCTAAACTGTGATGTTAATCTGGGGTAGTCTATATTTTTTAATTCCGTCACCATGTTATGGGGGAGGGGTTAGGGCCTCCAGTTACCTGCATTTACCAGGCAAATAGCAGTAATAAACACTTCTACTTAGTTCTATTTTACTTACAGATAAATTAAGAACAATTTTCTGTTATTAGATAAATGAAGTTAAATATCCCCCCTGTGAAGAAAAATGGGGGAGACTATGTTCCAGTGAAATTTTGATTGGAATTACTAAGTGGTTGAATGAACACCTTTATGGTAAAATTAACGCCTTATTACTAAATTATGTATTGTAATTAATGGATTAAATAGTGGTAGAGCCATGCTGCAGCTATATTAATAGTATAGTTGTAGCACGAATGGGTCGGCTCGACCGGGGAAGGACCACGCTCTCACAGAATACCAGCGTAAAATAGAAACTTAATGCTGCTGTGTTTCCTATGGTGAGTGTAGAGAACCGGAAACCCTTTTTACTGGAAAAGAGGCATCCCATCTTAGTCCTCACGGGTGACAACGCATCTGAATTTTGATTCGCAAACGAGGATAGATGTAGATGTCTATGGGCCACAGCAACCACTTACCATCACCTGTGTGTTCGTTTGTCACCCTATCCTATATATGAAATTGAAATATTAAATTGAAGACGACACTAATTTATAATTTAATTTTAATTTAAATTCTTTATAGTACATAGAGTGTACAATTAGCGGACTTAATGTCTTTAGGCATTCTCTACCAATCAACCACGTGCTAAGCAGAGTAACTTAAGCAGGTGCCATAACAACATGAAAATATGTACCTATACTTATACATATACATATTTCGATTCTTGTAAGAATATAAATATAAAAACAAATAAAACATACAAATAAATACTCTTATAAATATATATTACTACAAATAACCTAAACAATATAAGTACTCTATACCCGATACGTAGCATTCACAATTTTTAAATAATACACACATTTTAAACTTAACGCATTATCTACATAATTAAGCAGAATCATTTAAGAAAGATAGCCACTGAAAGAAGAAAGGTAATGATTAGACCCCATTCGCTTAAAGGCAGTAACAGAATTTGCTTTATTAATATGTGGAGGTAATTTATTCCAAAGCCTTATGGCCTGAGCAGCGACATCAATTTGGCACGGTGAGGAAAAACAACCCGTGAGAAGAACCCAAATACTGAAACTGACATTTCAGGTATTGAGGCGTGCACGGATTGTAAAGGATTGAAAATAGTGTGCGAAGAATTCTGATGCATCAGAATTATTTTACTACTCATTATATTCAATTATTATTCATTAAAACCGATAAGTAAAAACTAAACATTAATATAGCAGCATAGATCTAAGATATTATTGCCTAGGAATAACCGAAAGGCACGTTTATTCAATCGTATTCGTGTACATGATGATTGATGATATACAGTTTAACTAATGGCCTGTTTGCTGCCTACGTGACTTTGCGTTTAGAACAAATTTGGCTGTATGATTCGAAGCACGTTGCTCTTTTTAACCTTTTAAGTATTTGTTTTAAACGTTTGGAAGTAATAGGTACCTGTGTAATTCAATGAATGTATTGCATAATTTATTTATTTTATTATGAGAGACACAGACACAACAGAGAACAATATCAGTCATTCGGTTTCTCTGTCAAGAAATTCCAAGTGTTTCACCCACGTGCCTCGGAAAGCACCTCTATTCGTGTCGATTTACCATTCTATCGGTCTATGAATGAGAGGCAAGAAAACGTGGTAGAGTCACGCTGCAGCTATATTATAATACATAGTAGAGCTATGCTGCAGCTATTTTAAAATACGTGTTGCAGCCATGCAGCAGTTATATTATATGTCATCTCTGTTTAGCCTAATGGTTAACTGGCAGAGAACGCCCTATGGCATTAAGTCCGCCATTGTACTAATTCATGTATGAAAGTGTTAATAAATAAACAAAACAAATGAATAAATATTATAATACGTGTTAGAGCCACGCACCAGCTATATTTTAATACGTAGTACAGCCATGCTGCAGTTATATTATAATATGTGGTAGAACCACGCTGCTGCTATATTATATTACGTGGTAGAGCCATGCTGCAGCTACATTTTAATACATAGTACAGCTACGCTACAGTTATATTATAATATGTGATAGAACCACACTACAGCTATATTATAGTGTGTGGTAGAGCCATGATGCACCTATATTTTAATACATAGTACAGCCACGCTACAGTTATATAATAATATGTGGTAGAACCACATTGCAACCGTATTATAGTACGTGGTAGAGCCATGCTGCAGCTATATTTTAATACGTAGTACAGCCACGCTGCAGTTATATTATAATATGTGATAGAACTACGCTGCAGCTATATTATAGTACGTGGTAGAGCCATGCTGCAGCTATATTTTAATACGTAGTACAGCCACGCTGCAGTTATATTATAATATGTGATAGAACTACGCTGCAGCTATATTATAGTACGTGGTAGAGCCATGCTGCAGCTATATTTTAATATGTAGTACAGTCACGCTGCAGTTATATTATAATATGTGGTAGCGCCATGCAGCAGCTATATTATAGTTGTAGCACAAATGGCCAGCGCGATCGGGGAAGGACCATGCTCTCACAGAATACCAGCATAAAGTACCAGTTTAATGCTGCTGTGTTTCGTATGGTGAGTGTAGAGAACTTCGGAAACAAGCCATCTACGTAGGACAGGATTTAAGTGCACAAGTGTGTGCGCAAGCATATGTGCATTCTCTATTCTCTTTTTTATAAGTGACAAACAAGCCCACAGTTCACATGATGGTAAGTGGATGCTGTACTGTGGCCCATAGACATTTATCCTCGATTGAGAACCAAAATTCAGATGCGTTGTCACCCGTGAGGACTAAGATGGAATGCCACGTTCCAGTGTAAAGGGTCTCCGGTTCTCTACACTCACCATACGAAACACAGCAGCATTAACCTGCTATTTGACGCTGGTATTCTATGAGAGCGTGGTCCTATCCCGGTCGAGCCAACCCATTCGTGCTACAACCATACTAATAATATAGCTGCAGCATGGCTCTACCACGTAATATACTGCTAATAAAGCAAATACTACTAATATAGCAAGTTAAAAATAAATAAGGAAAATCTGTATTAAAATTAAGGAACAATTATTAATAATAAAATTATCTATTCAATAACATATCTCGTTAACCCAAATTGCAATAAAACACCGAAGTGTGCCTACGTGAGGCCGCCCGCATTCGTCCACAGACACAGACTAATATTATACACCCTTCGTAATCAAAGTCAACATTACTATCGACTGCTGTCCTCGAATTATTTTTCCAGTTCTAAAATGACAAAAATAAATTTGTCCACACGACTATACTTTCAAGAAAAGTTCTATATAAAGGCTAAATTTGTTCGAAAACAAATTCGTCGCATTCGATAAATAGTTAAACCAGTGCTTCTCAACGCCAGGGCTGTTGATATTTATTTTTATTTGAGAGATCTGGACTGATTAATCACGATGTTATCGTCTAGAAATATTAGCAAGCAAGGAACTGTTCGAGATGCATATTGTCAAAGTATTAACGTAAACATCGAAATATTTTTGGTAATAAGTTCATAATAGAATATGGAAGAATGTGACCTTCTGGTACAAGTATTTCCAAGGTATCAACTATATCACTGTACTGAGTAGTGAAACCTTCACCAATTGGCCTGGCCAAAAATTCATAATATTTGTAATAATGTTTTTTTACGTGGTAGAGCCATGCTGCAGCTATATATCTGGTATGGTTGTAGCACGAATGGGTCGACTCGACCGGGGAAGGACCACGATCTCACAGAATACCAGCATAAAATAACAACTTAACGAAGTTGTGTTTCGTATGGTGTGTGCAGAGAACCGGAGACCCTTTTTACTGGAAACGAGGTATTCCATCTTAGTCCTCATGGGTGACAACGCATCTGCATTTTGAGTCATAGTCGAGGATAGACGTAGATGTCCATGGGCCACAGCAACCACTTAGCATCAGGTGGACTGTGTGCTCGTTTGTCACCCTTATCCTATAAAAAAAATATTGGATGTAGTCAATTACTCGGCACAATTTAAAAAGTTATAAGAACATGCGATAATATCGAAATTAGGCAACGATCGATTACATGAACAGAATCACATCACGATATCTAAAAGCACCCTCACAGACAGTCTCATTGTATCAATAAGTCATTGTATTTTTGAGCGTACGCAATAGGTATATTTATATGATTGCCATGTTGTGGTGGCTTAAGATAATCCATTACCCCGTTTTGCCTTGGGTGTCATAAGAAGCCATAGGAAGTGCTTGAAACATAAGTAGCATATAACCATCCTATTTACGCCAGATGAAAAATACCCAGAACAGCATTTCAGAGTAGTGTCAAAATAGACGAGTAGTACTGTGATCGTCAATTTGTCATGGCGAATATGGCAGATCCCACGAAGCCCTGCCATGCTATGCCGTGCCATGCCATGCCATGCCATGCCACGTGTAACAGTGTACTTATAAAGACTGATAAAAAATAAGTACCTATATTTAATTTACGTAATATAAAAACATTGAGAAACCCTGGTGTAAACAAAAACACAAGCACATGTACCGGTTTGAACTCAGCCCCCACCACCACAACTGTTGGTCGACGGATAAAACTGTACGCGTTTACAAAATACAAACTATTATCAAACAGTTCAGTAAATGTTTGGTGTTGCTTACTTTCTCTCCGCGCGCGCGCGCTTTTCGAGCGTTTTCATTGAGTAACTTATATTAATAACAAAAACTTATTAATTTCATGTCAAGTGTAGTGTTGAGTTGACAAAATGGCATTCTCGTTCATAAGGCTTGGATTACGCTCGGTTGCTCTGAATTTAGAAAGAGCAGCCATTCTCTCTACCGCATCAGTACAGAGTAATATGAAGGTAAATTAATTTTAATACAAGTAGCAGTTTCTAGTCATATTATTGATAGTAGAAGTTAAGTAAATTATATTTTTAATTCCATTTAGATGCAACTGCACCATTATGTCTATATGAGTAAGCCAAAGCTCTAGTATGAAAGCGTCTTCGACCTCCATTTTATTTACAATGCATTTGAAGCCATGTAATTCACGGTGTACTCGCAACTCGAAAGGGTGTCGTAAAAAAATCTACCTGTTGATTGTCAAGTTGTTAAAACTACTTACCTACACTAACTAACCGACTATAATATAACGAATTGGAACGGTCAGCTATCTGCTGACGATTACAATAATACAGAGTCTAAATTATATATGTATTGATTATAGTTACTAGGTGGGTTAGTATTCTTTCACTTATATATATATATACATGTACTACTCTACACTCTTACCTATTTCTGACGATATATGAGTTTTATGGTCACATCAATTTTATAGAAAAATTAGCTGTTCCTCGCGACTTCGCCCGCGTGTTATTTGAGGTTTTAATTTTTTTTGCGCGAAACCTTATTTCTTTTTCGAAAATAGAACTAGCCTAAGTTACTCCTTGTGACATCTATCTGCCAGTGCCAAAATCCCGTCAAAATCGGTCCAGCTGTTTCGGAGATTAGCCGGAACAAACAGACAGACAGACGGACAGACAGACAGAAACTTTAAAATTTGTTTTTTTGTTATTAGTACCGTATATACTTTCATATGCATTTAGTAAAAAGCTGTAATTTTGATATTACAAACAGACACTTCAATTTTATTTATTTGTATATATATATATATATATATATATATATATATCTTTGCAAGTTAACTTTTAACTAAAGTGATTTTAAGGCATTTAAGATATAAACTGCGTGCACTGCGACCACAAAATACTTGTAAAAACTAGCTCCATGGTTAAACAGTCAATAAACCCGACCGTGTTTTTTTTTACTGAAGAGTGAAAAATTGAGTACTCTATGTCACTTCCACAACTAAGTTGAATCTAACGACACTAATTAAGTTAGAAGCCATCTAGTCGTTTAAGTTTATAGAGCGTGCCAAAGAAATGAATATACATACACATACAACATACTTATATACATACATACGAGTACATATATACACTCGAAAAACATTTCACTTCTAAGGCAGTCGGGTAATAAGAAAAAAGTTAACGTTGACAATAATCCATTTAAAAGTAATTTGCTAATCATTTCAATTAATGAAACTTTAATGTGCAGTATTATTAGTATAAAAAATAAATAAGCCATTTAATTTTTACGCGGTTACTTGATTATGATTGATATAACTTCTTTAAAATTTTCGAATTTTACAAAAAGTTAAAAAGACGAAAAACTGGTTTAAGTTAGATTTTTTTAAAGAATTAGGGTGACACAAACGAGTGTGCTCGTTTGTCACCCTAATTCGTAAAAAAAAGTCTACCTGATGGTAAGTGAATACTGTGGCCCATAGACATCTATACTCGATTACGACTCAAAATACAGGTACGATGTCACGTGAGGACTAATTTGGTATACTAAATACTTCATTTCCAGTAGAAAGGTTCTGCTGCTCTGTACACTCACCGTACGAAACACAACAGCATTAAGGTACTGGTATTTCACGCTCGTATTCAATGAGAGCGTGGTCCTTCCCCGGTCAAGGTGATCCATTCGTGTTACAACCATAATATAGCTGCAGCGTGGCTCTACCGCGTGTAAAATAATATAAAATGGTGGTATAGTAGTTTGAATGCGATAATAAATGACCTCTTACAACATAGCGGAAATAACAACATCATTGTTTTGTATACTTCATAATATTTATAGGTACTTATTTCGGTGATTAAAATTAAAATATATTATCATTACATTATAATATAAACAGATGATATTATTATTATATTTGCAAGTGTAATAGATTACCTATATCTATGTTGGAAACGAAATAGGTATTAAATCGTATTGTTTTCATTTTATCTAGTAATAATAGTAATTATTATTCGACTGATTAAATAATTATTATTATTCCACTTCCTTATATTATCCTGTGGCTGTCGTAAAAGGCGACAAAGGGAAATTAAACAGATGGGCAACAACATCTTCCTGGTAACAACTCAGTACCTACAATAATAATAAAAATGCGGGTGCTAACCAGCCAAACCTGGCAACTATGGATAATCATAACATGGGGTAGACTTATATTCATTAGTGAAATTATGATCGCCTGTATTACTAATGATAATTTATGAAAACAAAAAGAAAGTGAAAAGTAATACGGTCACATATGTTTTGTAAGGGTGTAATATTTCAAATGACACCCATTATTTTTTAATTAAAAAATTACAGCCTATATACGTCCTATTACTGGGCCCTGTCCTAACATTTCTGAATTTATGAAGTGATTAGTCTATTGCGTGTGAGCGGACGACATATGTATTTGAAAGATTTTATCTATCAGACATTCGGATTTCCTCACTATAATTTATATTTAATTCATCACCAGTTTACAATAAACTATGAGTTTTTACATAAAATTAATAGATTCAATTCAATCTTTCAAATTCATTTTTTTAACGTTTTCCGATACCTATCGCACATAGTTTTAGAGACAATATCAAAACCGGAGTTTAAAGTGAATTTTCGATACCTAAGCAGTCGAAAGACTACTTATGAAGATTTGCAGTCTTGAGAATTTGCAGTTTTCCTAGACACAAATAAGTTACATGCAAGACGTATTAGGTTCTGTCTGATGATTGTATGTTAATTTTATAAATGTTAGTGTTACTATCCGCAACACATCAATACATTATATCATTCTGATATTATGATATTAAAGATACAAACAAGCTCACACTAAGATTTTAGGCATCCGATTTTATTCATATTGTACACCTGTAACCAACTCCGAATAAACACTACTTACTGTTGTGATAGAAATGTTTTGGTTTTAGTTCTAATAAAGCCGTTTCTATTCTATACTATGCATTGACAACTATAGGCGACATAAAGTATTTGCTTTAAGTTAATCGAAGTTGATGTGTCAGTAGTTTTTTTTTTTGTATTTACCCACATACTACGTAAAGACATACTGCAGCTACTAGTATTATGGTTGTAGCCATGCTTTCTTATACGTTCATGGTTGTAACACGAATAATTCGACTCTACCAGTGAATAACCGCGCTCTCACAGAATGCCAGCGCGAAATAGCAGCTTAATGCTGCTGTGTTTCGTATGGTGAGTGTAGAGAACCGGAAACCTGGCGACCGGAAAACGTTTTAACCAATTATGTAAATGAAAGCAATCAGATTACGTACGCATGACATGGAAATATTACAAATAAAGTTATGTAGCGTTGTCTCCACACAATTATTGATCAAATTTCGACCGCAAACGATACTAGCGAATTCAAAACGCTATTAGTATGCAAAATTTGCGAACATATGTATATCATATAAGCTCTTTAATTCTAGTAGTCTATTTTATTTTTGGAACGTGTTAGAATACCGTCGGCAACAATGAAGTTGTTAGTTGCATTGAGTTATATGTACTACGTACTAGAGAAGCCATTCCGAACATAGACTATGTTCAACTGAACTGTAGTGCAATCCATACAAACTAAATATTGCGTAAATTGAAGATTTGTGAATTCCATAAAATAATTATTATTACATTTTATTTAGAAATATAATATGTTTGTTTAGATTAAATTAAGATATTTTATATTAAATTCTTATATTTATATCAAATTAAAGTCTTCGCCCATGCGCGACTACTACTCCCGCGCATGCGCAAAGACATAGACAAGGACACAATTTTTGTTTGGAATGGCTTCTCTAGTACGTAGTACATATAACTCAATGGTTAGTTGCAATTTTAATTGCTGATTTAACACTTGGCGGTGAAAGAAAACGTCGTGAGAAAATTTGCATTTCTGAGGAATAACATGTTTTGGGGACACGCACTGGAACAGTATCCATTAAAGCCTATCGATGACTACAGTTGAACAAAGGCCTCCCATAGATTGCCTATTAACTATTAAGTACTTGTCATAGTAGCTCTGCTTAGCCAGCGAATTTGCGACCGCAGATTTTTATTTTCAAGTCCATATTCGGAAGAAGATCTTGCTTCCCATTCCTGGTTTGTTCGCCTCTTACGACACCCACGGGACGATATGGGGTAGTGGATATTCTTACACCGCCACTAACTTGCTCCATAGTTCTCTCAGAAATTAAAGGATTCCATAGGGCGTTTTCGCTGTTCTGAATCTCAATAAACCAAATACGTGGGTAGGGTTGCCTATACGAGTACAATACTCGTATCTACTTGACGCCAACGAGTTTAATAGACGCCGCCAGTGTGCGGGAGAGTATACGAGAGAACGTTGCGCAGGCGTTTTGATGTGTCTCAATAAACCGACGCCATATTGAAGCTTAAGGCGATAGTACACGATTCATTTTTACCACTCCTGTCCTTATTATTCATTTCTCATGAAAACAAAATGAAAAAAATGTTCGTGCATCAGCCTTACACCTCCCCGATGAAAGTATTTTAGCTTCGATACTTCATTCGAAGTATTGAACGATTATTTTTATTATCTTACTAGCTACCCGCCCCGTTTCCGCCTGGGTAAGATTATTATATATAGGTATTTTGGCGTTATTTAGATTTTAGTCAATGAAAAACAATATATTTTATTAATTTTTCGTTTTTATTGGAAAATGTCCAAGTTTTTTGGATATAATATAGCTTTGATCCCTTCTGGTAGCTATCTCTCTCTCTGCTCTCTATTTGTTGATAAAGTTTCATCACAATTGGTTCAGCCATTCCGAAGATTAGCCCGAACAAACAGCAGACATAAAATTTAAAAATGGTTGTTTATGACTGAATAGTGTTGCGCGCCACAATACCACTAATAATACCACTAGTAATACCACTAGCGCGTTTATCACCATTCTGTTAAAAAAAAACTATCAGTCGTAGGACT